ATTTCCAAGTTTCAGAAATATCAAAATTTCACGAATTTTTGGGACAGAAAAACATGGAAAACATGTATATACATGAATGTTACGTTCTATAAAATATGCTGCTAGTGAATGTGAAATTATATGATTTTAAACTTGCTCCTTGGGGACTAAACCACGCCCAAACTGTAAAGGTGTTGCTGCACAGCCCGCTCTACGTAAGGTGCAGATGTATATGATACACAATGCAGTTCGTCACGGACCGGAAGTTCACGGAACCTGTCCTGGTAACGGCGTACTAATATTTGTTGGTTGTTTCCCTCTGTTTGATAGCAAACAGCTACGGGTGTGTAGGGCCGCTCACCGGAAAGCTAACCCACAATGATATCGGGCGCAATACACATTTCGTGATCGGATTTACGGAAGCTGCAAAATTACGCTAGTCGCAGTTGCCACACATCTGCCGTTTGGCATTAAAGCAGACCTTCACAGTGAGCTTCGGGCAAGGGAACAGATTCAGTGCACTGTTTCCATTCCGTGAATGTTGATAACACTGTTCGGAGAGTGAATTAGATTATAAGGAATTGGAAGACGTTATCTTCTAGAGACAGGCGTGTAAGTCCCACATGGTCATGGTTCAATCTGCCTGCCAAGAGTGTTAGGGAGATAATCACTGACACGGTAGGCATGGTTACGTCTTGGACAATCACTTGGTAAATGTATTGCGTAGAGCAGATTGCAGAGAAAATGCGTGAGGGTGTTCTCACAAGTTGTTTCAGGTGAGTCATGTTGTTTCTGCCAAAAATGCGTGAGTGAAACTCAATGTTTGTTTTATAACAAATCTAGAAAATGTACAATTTTCAGAGTCACGAGGTAGGGTAGTTAATTCCAGCACTATGCCATAGGTCAGAAGGTGGCGAGTTCGATTCCCGATGAAGTCACTGGATTTTTCAATCAACCTAATCCTTCCAGCCGCACTATGTCCTTGGGGTTGACTCAGCCTCTAACAGAAACGAGCATCAGGAATTTTCATGGGCGTAAAGTGCAGCCGGTAAGCGCGTAAAGCTGACAACTTTCCCGCCATCTGTAAACCGACTGTCTAAAAAATGTGGAAGCCTCGACGTCCTCCACTGGCTGTTACAGGAACAGCTTGTTTATAAATGTTTCTTATTAGGTATAACAGACATAAATATTAATATTGATACCAGCGGGCCGTGCAGAGTATATGTCCGTGTAATTCCATTCAACAGCTCTAAACAGCTCCAGAATGAAGGCAACTTGCTACGGTGATGACATTAATAGAGTCGGCTTCCAACATTTACATATCTATGAAAATCACAAGACACAAGGTAAGCATGTTAAGTCTAGCCACGCCTCCCATTACACATAAAATAATGCGGTCCATTGTGGTGCACTGTGTCAACAATTACCTCGATAGTACAGCAAGCGAGGGACTACTCTTCTGAAAAAGCACCGCAGTTGGGAAACCCAAGCTTTCATAAGAAACCTGGGGGTTATGGGAACTGCGGTCTTGATAATACCCGCGGAGGAAGTACGTAATTAAGTTAGCTGTGAAATACCGCGCCATAGCTCAAGCTGTTAGTCGCTGGCTTCCCATCGCGGCGGCCCGGGTTCGATCTAGTCAAGTGGGATTTGTGGTGGACAAAGTGGCGCTGGAGGAGCAGGTTTTCTCCGAGTACTTCGGTTTTCCTTGCCAATCTTCATTCCACCAATTGCTCCACAATCACCCTCACCTATCATCTGGGGCTGGTACAATAGGCCAGAAGTGGCCGCAGTACAAGGGACTTAGTCCCACCCCATTAGCAATAAAAAAAAGCCATGAAATACGAGGCCGAGCACGGTGGTAGCGCGGTCTAAGGCATGCACTGTCTTCGCCCGCTCGAATATTGGCGATCATGGGTTCGAAGCCCACTCGAGGCACGGATGTCTGCGTGCGTTTATACTCTGTTGTGTTGTTCTGTGTGCAGATAACGGCCTAGCGACGGGCTGATCCCCCGTTCAAGGAGTCCTACCGAATATGTATAGATTAAGAAACTGAAAAGCGGCCAAGGTTCACAATGGCTGTAGAACTATAGGTAGATAGACAGATGGACGGACGGACAGGCGAGACGAGAATATGCAACGGGGAAAGCAAACAAATATCTCCGTGTAACACAAATACAATTCGTGTGTTATGTAACAACAAATGCAGCAGGTGACAAAACTGGATACAAATGTAAAACCTCGGATTTGAGTGAAATCCGTAGTTCCTAACTTAAAATGCGGTTGGCCAGGTTTGCTACGTTAGGGAACGCAGAAGCATGAGATTTCAGGTTTACTATGAAACTATTGTGTTCTGAGATGTACTGTACTGTGGTGTGACAGGATTCTTAGTGAAGTTTCGTGGGAACATGTCGCTTTCCATCTGCCCTGAAGGCAGTACAGCAAACCCTCGCTAATCCGGTTACAGTTAATCCGGACGTCGAATAATCCAGATCGAAAAATAAAAAATGCTGTTAACAGGTCAGTACAAACTTTAAAATACACGTGGAATTTGGGAAGGCAGATGAGTGAGTCACTTGTCTGTTCAGGCAGAATCTGACAGTTTCTTCAAACCTGCATCATTAGGTTCAAAAACAAGTACAACTTCAGAGTTTTCTATCGAAGAATAATGTATTGTCTCTTCATGGTTTTTTAAATAAAGGCTCTACAGTGATATGTTATTATTTATTTTCATCAGCACTATTTACATAATCACATTTTCCATTTGTTTCTGCTCTATTTTTTTTTCTTTTTGTCCTTTGGGGCTACCTTTGGCTTCATAAATCCGGATTATCGCTTAATCCGGATTAGCGACGGTTTACTCCATTATTCAGCCTGTGCTGGGAAATATCCTTCTCCAGAATCTCGCACGCCTGGTTGTGTCGCAGCATGGCTGTTAATACTCTAAGCACGCCAAGAGTGCCGTAGACATTTTCACTTTTGGGGCCGAGTGTGTAGAAGCACTTACATGCACAGTCGTGCATGCTCCCCACGCAAAAGTGTTCTAAAGGACCGGCGTTTCCAACACCGTGGGTTAGAGTGATCATCTAGAAAGGGGGAGTCCGAGGGGTTGAACAGCAACGCAGTTCTGAATCTAGGCTTCTTCCATTCGTCAAGTTTTGTCTCGTGCCATTCAAGCAGGAAAAGGGCGCGGAGACTGACCCCACTGCGCAAGTTGTTCTGGCATAGGAACGGCGGTAGGTTTTGGGTTCATTACATGCACATGAGGTGACCCAGCTTCATATGAAAATAAGTAGGAATAGTTTGACGGTAATTACGACGACTGTCCGAGGAACGTTTTGACGTAAGCTGCATAAAAAAAAAAAGAATTATCGTCCTTTTATGTGGTCGGTTATCTCCAAGCATTTCACTTCGAAATTCAAAATTGCTACACACTTCAACAAAAAATACGTTCCCATGTTGGTTTCATATTTTTCTGTTTTAAATTGCGTAACAAACAATCTTCAGTCATGGAGTGTTTTATTAGCCACAATTATTTTCCTTTTAATTAAAACTCCATTTTCTAAGGAAAAGCATGGCATGGACTGTCTTCGCTCGCTTAGAAACCGGGATCGTGGGTTCGAATCTCACTCAGGGCATGGATGTTTAGTTCGTGTGTTTGTACAGCTAGAGGCCTTGCGACGAGCTGATCACGCGCCCAAGGAGTCCTACCGAATATGTAAGACCAAGAAAAACCGAAGTGAACGGAGAAGTTCATGGAGGTAGGCCTAGGCCCGCTGGGGCTGTAGTGCCAAGGGGGGGGGGGAAAGGAAAAGCATAAACAGAGTTATTTTATAACACAGAGTTCTAAACACTTCAAAGTGACGGATGTATTATCCCGAATAAACAGACCCAGCAATTCATTGTAAACAATTTCAATTATATAGAAAACACAGTTGCTTGCTTACTTCAAATGAAACCGTTCTGAATTAGGGCAGGTTCTCCTTCAGTATACAGAGTGCCCCACAACTTTGGTGCCATACTTCAGGAGCGTACTGGGGTTTCCCTATAGAATAACTTTGAAATAGGAACCCACGTCCGCAAACGTAAAATAGCAGCGCTAGGGCGGCATTTAAAATCATTTCGTTTAAACTTGGCGCCTCAATGTCGAACTGCATTGCATAGAGGAACAGCCATCCACCAGCACTCGTGCCATTGCCAAGATTGTGGGGACATCAATATCAAGTGTTTGAAGGATCCTGCACGGCCAACAGCTTTAACCGTATCATCCAACGCGAGTACACGACGTAGGTCCAGCTGACTTCGTACCGCGAGTTCAATTTTGTGAGTGAATACTGAACCAGTGTTTACATCAGCCCAGCTTCCTGAATCGCGTGTTATTCACAGACGAAGTACAGTTTACAAGGGATGGCTGGTTCAACTGTCGAAACAGCCACGTTGGGGTTGATGAAAACACCAACGTTACTGTAGTTGGTTACCATCAGGCGCAATTTTCTGTCAGTGTCTTTTTTTTTTTAACTCCAATAATTATACAATCTATCCATTAAGTGTGGATAATAAGTACATTTTGTGGTTTACATATAGAAAAGGAAAGAGAACTTGTCGTGGTGAGCATGTTCCAATGAACATGCTCAATACTTATTTTAACTGCTTAGTGATATGCAGTTAAGTGTTGAATTATTCAAATCTGGTGGGTAAATCTGATGGTTTAAATCTGTTTAACCTCCTGATTTCTCCTTCGTCGTCGAGAGTGGCCCCTATCCCAATATCCGTGTCCCTGTTGTTATGTTCGGCTTCGTCCTTTACCCTGAATTGGAGGCAGAAATTCCGTTCTAAACGTCTGCAAACATCTGCCAAACGTGATCACACCAGAGCCGTGGAAACCTCGTCGCTACAGCAGACAAGTACTCACATTGATTGCAAGGAGCCAGAACTGCATTCACTCTGCTGGTAGTATTGTGCCGAGTCGAGTAGAGGGTGCCGCAGTGCTGGCTGGTACAGAGCACGTTACGCGAGTAGCTGTTGTTGCTGTTGTTGCTGTTGCTGTTGCTGTTGCTGTTGTTGCTGCTGTTCCAGTTGCTCTCGGTGTTCCCTGACTTCCCGCTCGAATTCCCTCTGTTCCCGTTCTAACGCACGCTCGGCCCTAGCCTGGGCGCGCTGTTGCTGGGCTGCCTACAACAGGGACAGGATGTCAGACTCCATTACATTAATTTATAATTAAATTAATGCAAATTTAACAGATCGTGTTAACCCACCCTGTGAAGAATTGGTTACCATATGCACAGCATGCTTTAAAGCTAAAAGGCTGCTTAGAACATTAGTCGAGCCGGTTTCTGGCAAGGAGGAACCGGATTTATGTAAATTATTTTCAGGAAATTCATGCTTGTAGGGACTAAACACTGCGTACTTTAGAAATAGACGGGGTTTGGGATTGGTTATTGGATTTATTGATCACTTTAACACACAAATCATAATTACACTTAATTATAGGGCAATCACTGATTTCCACACTTGACCATATCACAAACACCAAGTGTTTTCCAGCCCGCAGTATCTACAATACTAGACGCCTGGTAATGGCTTCTAATAGTGGTTATTTCTCTGTGAATGGCGGCTCCCCTCCAACTGAACTATTCTGTCCCTAACTGCCGCCGAGTCTTCTCTTCAGACTCCCGGAACAGAACTGATCCCATTGCCCCAATTGTGTTTCTTATATCCCATTTGTACGAACCGATTAGAAAACACTATTTCCAAAAGCACCTATATTTTTGCATGCGTATCCGTTGTAGCGGGAATGTGTTTACCAAGCCGTTAGCTAGCAACGGCCGTTTCTCTGGCTCCACAGTTCTTGCTTTGAGCAACTTATAGCACCAATACCTAGACACTAGTAGTAATGTAGACATCAACTCTGTGTACCTGTTGCGCGTGCTCCGCCCTTGCCAGCGCCTCTGCCGCCTCCTTCTTCTCTTTCTTCTCTTCGTCGGTTTGGGAGCGGCTACTCCCGCCCCCAGGTGGGGGGTAGCTGAACCAGAACTGGTGGGCCAGCTTTGTGCTGCGCACGGACTCGTGGCCGCCCGGTCTGCTCACGTCTGAAACAGCACCAAGCGGATATTCGAATTGGACGGGCTTTCAAGTCGGGGTGCTCTCCCCCTGCAACTGACGCACTACTGCCACAGACGCCGCCGTGATAATCTTGTTAATCATGACAGCCTGTCATTTCGCCTTATCCGGTTCATTACTTTGCAACAAGTATCTCTTAATATTACAGCAAACCCTCAATAATCCGGTTAATCCGGTTGTCGGATAATTCGGATCGAAATATGAAAAATGCTGTTCACAGTTAAGTACATACTTTAAAAGGCACATGGAATTTAGGAAGGCAGACGATTCACTTGTTTGTTCAACAAAACTTGACAGTTCCCTCAAACCTGTGTTATTACTTTCAAAAACAAACACAACTGCTCAGTCTTCTCTCGATGAATAAATGGATCGTCTTTTAATAGTTTTTAAATAAAAGCCCTACAGTGATATTTTTGTATTTTTTCATCAGAACTATTGACATCATTAAATTCCCATTTATTTATGTTCCAAATTTTTTCTTCTTTTAGGACTTCCTTTTGTTTTGCTAATCCGGATTTCTGGATTACTCCCCCCAAATTGCTCGGGATTAGCGAGAGTTTACGGGAACGCATGAATTTATGATCTGAGCCGATCATAATGTGCACCACAAAACTTGAGTTAGACGCTGTTATGGAAGTTTATCTAGAAATAAAAGCAGAGAAAATGTATGTATGATCACTGAAATGCTGGACAACATCGCAATGGGGGCACGTAATACGTTCTTCGAAAGTGTGAAACTCTCAAGCATCTTCGACTAACAGTGACAAGTGTGAATTAGGAAGGAGATTACAGTTACGGAATATGTGGTGCCGTTCGGTTCAGACTGCTTCACCTTCGTATCTCCCATCTGAAGGCGCTACAGCCCCAGTGGGCCTTGGCCTACCTCCATGAACTTCTCCGTTCACTTCGGTTTTTCTAGATCTTACACATTCGGTAGGACTCCTTGGGCGGGTGATCAGCTCGTCGCAAGGCCTCTATCTGTACACAAACACAGAAAAACGTACACACACACACACACACACACACAAACTAAACATCCATGCCCTGAGTGGGATTCGAACCTACGATCCCGGTTTCCAAGCGAGCCAAGACAGTACTTGCCTTAGACCGCTCGGCTACCGTGACCGGCTGCCTCTTTCTTATTCCATACATAATGATCAAGCAATGTAGTCTCAGTATCTCATTCGAAACCATGTAACATTTGCAGCTGAACAGTTGAATAATCCAACAATACTTCTGAAAAATAAGATATAACGTACAAGGTTAGGAATAAGCCCATGACTTCAAACCCTAAAACCTGTGGACAGTTCCTGTGAGGTCTATCCAGAATACAGCGCTCTTTAGGAAAGAATGACAGACACCATTTTGTGGGCCAGATAAACAAATTCGTTTTGTTTGGCAACTCGACTCACCCAGCGGCGCATGATAGACGCCAGCAGCGGGGGGTAAGGAGGGGGCGGAGATAACAAGAAGAAAAAGGCGATGTGAAGGCCGAAGTCCGCATTGCGAACATTTAACGTTACCAGCAAAACTTTTTAAAAGAATTCTAATACTAAGACGTTACATATTTGCTTACAACGGATTATGTCATGCAAAACCAGTTCGGAACCCATGTCCATAGCTCACGGGAATTTGTGTACTTACGACTGTAGAATTATGGTTTTATTTTATGTCAATATCCATATGTTCTAAGTTGTATATTGTCACGTGATGGAGTGACTATAGACGGGGTTTGGAATCGTAATATGATTTACTGAACTCTCACAAACAGTAAATACAAATAATTATAGCGATATGGCTAATTCACACTCTTTACAGTTCGCTATGACACGCATTAGATCTTCTATATCTTCGCTATGCGCTGCCTGGTAACGGCACCCAACACCGTCCTCCGTCCCCGTTGCTCAACTGCTCCGGTTCTCGCTGGCTGGCAACCCTCTCACATCTAATCCATGACGGTAACTCATGACCTCTTAGTTCAGACTGACTCAGGTCAAAGTCGCTATACGTCCATACGTCCGATGGTCAGGCGGCCAGTCAGTTTTGGCTCCATCTGGGGCTCAAGATCTGATTTTTGTACTGCCACAATTACCATTTTGTCAATTTGCGGGTTCTCTCTGACGAGAGGACGTGTCTGTCATTTGTCGCGGTCACAGTCAGCACTACATGTAATCTATATTTACAATTTTGGGTGTCGGCATTCTGTATAATCTTTTCCTTGTGGATACGTACTATTTACAACTGTACATGTATTAATTCTCCTCTTGGACTTTTGCGTCATGTGGATCTAGGTAATGCTGTCGACGTTTTGCAGGTAGATGGTGCCTCCGTCTTCAGGGTAGAACTGAGTACGGCGGATGGGTGTTCGTGCATATAATTGTTGGTGCGACAAACGGGGGGAAGGGTGGGGGCCTTGTGCCTAACCAGGTCAGACAGGAGCAGCGCATAAGGAACACTTACCGAATGACCCATTTTAGGTTATACCAAGTTCAGAAATGTATCGGCAACTGCTGTTCTTTGACAGCAGCAGCAGCAGTAGTAGTAGCGATAGTAGTAATAACAGTAGCAGCATAAGTGGTCGTGGTCGTGGTAACAGCAATAGTAGTAGTAGCAATCGTAGTAGCAATAGCAATAGTAGTATAAGTAGCAGTAGTGGTACATTTAGTGGTCGTGGTAGTGGTAGTAATAATAACAATTATAGTTGCAGCAGTAGTAGTAATAGCAGCAGCAGTAGCGTGCAACTAGATGTGAAGGTAATCNGTAGCAGTAGTGGTACATTTAGTGGTCGTGGTAGTGGTAGTAATAACAATTATAGTTGCAGCAGCAGTAGCGTGCAACTAGATGTGAAGGTAATAATGAATGGTGGGTTAGTCACTATTTGGACTGCGTAACGTAGTCTGGAAAGCCGAATATAAAAGCAATCTTCAGTTATGACCACTAGACTGAGCACATCCGTGTCAAAATCTGATTCTTCACCGCTCGGGTAAGAGCATGCCCAATATTACGCCTTATTAGAAATGGCCTGCACTAGCAACACGCTCGTGCTGACATCTGGATTCAGAAACAAAACCGTGACGACAGAGCAGAATCCACAAGAGCGATTCTTCACCGCTCGGGTAAGAGCATGCCCAATATTACGCCTTACTAAAAATGGCCTGCACTAGCAACACGCTCGCGCTGACATCTGGATTAAGAAATAAAACCGTGACGACAGAGCAGAATCCACAAGAGCGATTCTTCACCGCTCGGGTAAGAGCATGCCCAATATTACGCCTTACTAAAAATGGACTGCACTAGCAACACGCTCGCGCTGACATCTGGATTCAGAAACAAAACCGTGACGACAGAGCGGTATCCACAAGAGCGGAAAATGTGTGCACGCGCGGCGCTGCTTTGCAGTGGCTGCGCTAATCCAGTTAGCTATGCAGGTCTCCAGGTTCGTTTAAAATGCCAATAAAATGCAGCTTCAAAGGGAAGTTCTGAAGGTCGAAAAATATGTATCAACAAATTAAAAGAGACTCTTCTTCGCATCTTGCGAATACAAATCACAGTAGAACGTAAGTTATCAAGTAACGCCAACTGTTATGTATAAAACGTTCCTTTCCACGTCCGTAATTAAAAACATGGCGAAGGAACGATTCTTTGATGATATGTGTGTAATTCTTGCCGTTACTCCAACGAAGAACATAAATGTGTAATGGTAAAACAGTAAACTTTTCCTAATTCAGCATCACGCCCTAGAACGTATGGGAAATGGAGGTATAGTTCTACCATTATATCCGGCTGAAGAGCCCTCGGTACACAGCGGACAGAAAGCTGGGCGAGTCGGCGGAGCCGAGCCAGCCGATATGGATGCAGCCGAGAAGAGAAGAAGCTCCAGCCCTAGTCCGTAACTATATTGACTGAGCTATCTCGGATCCCGAGTTTTAACATGTATCAAACTGCAAGCAATACAAATTCGTACTCTACCACGATTCGATTCCACGTCCATCTGAGTACGGATCCCGCGTACAAGTCTCTGAACTAAACTGTGTTAAGATATTTAACCCACTGCTATATTGTTAAGCGATTGAATGACTATATACGGGGTTTGGATTGGTAACAGGATTTATTGGACATTTAGACACAAAAGGACTAGTGTTCTCAGTCACGGTCTTCGTTGTGCTGCTTGGTAAGGTCTTCCAGCAGTGGCCGTTCCTCTGCTCCCGAGATCAAGTCCTTGCAGACTGGCGGCCACCAAACCCCAACCTCCTGCTCTTCTAACTGCCGTCCCAAGACTCTATACTCGTAATGACATCTGGCCCTCGGCACAGACAGCACAGAAAACGCCGCTTCCAACAGCTCTTCTTTGTTGCTCTCGTGTCTGTTGCGGCCATCATGTGACGACTACTGAGCCATTGCCTAGCAATGGGAGTGTTTGCATAGCCGTTCCCTTGCAGTGGCTATCTTTGTTTGCTTCACAATTGTGGTTTTCAGCAGACAAGCCACAATATCAACAACACGCGATCTGCAATGTTTTAATCTAAAACCTTACGAATATGAACGTAATATGAGCACAAACAGGTCAAGGCGTGTTTGGGAGCACATTGTTGCGTGTGTGTAACTGTTTCATTTTTTTTTCCTTGGCACTACAGCCCCAGTGGGCCTAGGCTACCTCCATGGACTTCTCCGTTCACTTCGGTTTTTCTAGATCTTACACATTCGGTAGGACTCCTTGGACGGTTGATCAGCTCGTCGCAAGGCCTCTCTACCTGTACACAAACACAGAGAAACGCACACACACACACACACACAAACTAAACATCCATGCCCTGAGTGGGACTCGACCCCACGATCCCGGTTTCCAAGCGAGCGCCTTAGACCGCTAGGCTACCGTAACCGGCGCAACCGTTCCATACATCGAAACAAAGTCAAGGCCTTCTATCTGATACTGTACGCTTCTCTAAAGGATCTGCCACGGGAGACGAGA